AAACAACCATGGCCATCATTTAAAAGACATTATATTCAAAACCTAGTTCTAACCAAAAAATAAAAAGGTTTTTCTTTCGAATAAAACAAGTTTCAATATCCTAGCGTTAATAGTTTTCGTTGTATTTGCAAATCAAAAGGGTCAGTTACTTCTGGGACACCCTGTAATTACCTATGGAAGATGTGCTAGTTTAAACGCTTGAAGCAGGTCGCCTGGAACTTTAGGAATGAGATATCTAGGAGCGGTAGGATAGCGTGATCATGTGTTTCACGATCAATGTGATGCCTGCAAGCGGATTGGCCCGGCGGGCGCCGGTGCAGGCAGACATCAAACGCAACCACCGCCAGTCCTCCGGACTTTATTTTGGCAACAGGCCCGAATGGGGTGTGAGGCGGGGGGGAGGTGGTATGTGAAGGTAGCGCACACAACTTCTATCAGCGCAAACTACTTCGCGCCCCGGGGGACCGTCCCGCGCAAGATTGCTGTGGCGCCCGCGACGAACCTAGTCAGAAAATCGATAGTTATCCACTCATGCAGTGAAATGTGTGGATATAATTAGTCGTTCTTTTTCTCAGTGCAGTGCAGCCTCGGGTGACGAGTAACTCCATCTACGAATATTTCAGGTCACGAGTGGGCCGTTAGTAAAAAATTCGTTTTTATTGACGATCTTTTGTTCAGTTAACGAGCTGTCTCTGTGTGGGTGTGTTTTCTTTTTCAGCGCTGCGCCCATCCTAACTCAGGCGGCCGGAAGCTAGCCGGTGACCTGTTGATGGCGGTGGGGAAGAGAGTGAAGTCGAACCTCTGGGTGTTTCCTACTTCACTAAAATGAAGCTGATGCGCCTGAAACTATCGTGGTGCGCTAAAATCCGTGGCTTGGAGGGTTGCGAGGGAGCGGAGTAACTCTGACACCTCAGTCGGTCCAGTGTATAGTGTTGTGTGTAGTCGCTGTCAGTGGGCTAAGAGTCAAAATCAATGGTTCCTTTTTTCTGTGGCCTTTATGGCGTTCCCTGTAGGGTGCCTACCGAGCGAATTGTGCTGTTGGTACGCGAGTTGAGTGTTGGTGGCGCCAGCCGTTTGCGGCCTCCCGCATCTCCGGCCTTCTTGACTCTGTCTTGACAACCAGGTCTCGGTGTGGGAGAAGTCAGAAAGTGGGGTTGGTACTCTGCAAGTCTGCCTCGTTGTTTATCTTGTGGAACTCACCGTGCGCTTCAACTCGCTGAAGCTCTATTGGATATCGTCGAAGTCGAAGGTCGAACTGTGGCCTTCGTGTGAGGGTGCGTGTATCCGCCGTTGAGTATTACTCCCCGGGGCGCGGATCCCCGGTCGCCTGCAGACAATCTGTGAATACTATGCAGTGCAGTGCAGTTTCGCAAGACGAGCGCTTCACGTGACGAGTGCTTCACATGACGAGCTCGGTGCTGGAATTGAGTAAACGCTTTAACCGAGGTCCCACTGTACTACAGAGAGCAGTATTTTTACAGTCACGTTTAGCCAATATTGAGAGAGCTAAGATCAGACAGCCACTCCTGTTGCTTCTTATTTCCAGACAATATGTTCAGTTGCAAAAATCAAAGCGGACCCGTCGTTTTGCTAAATACAAAACATAGGTCTGCCAGCAGTATAAGGTCTTGGCAATATTTGGGTTGAGCTCAAGCTCTCCTATTGAACGACTGATCATAATTTAATATTTAACCTGCTGGCTAGGGAAAATGGCATAGTCACATGCGGAAGGGAGGCTCCTTGAAATACTTAAAGCACGTCATCTGCAAATGGACATTTGAGATACTTAAGACCAGGAGAATAGGGTTAGACTTTCTGTTATAAATGTATTGCGTGTGAGTCCTCAGCTGGTTATCAAAATAACAGTTAGAACGTAGTGCATATGACATAGTCAGTAACAGTCAAATTGGTCGACCGGTTGTAATTTACGTAGATACCACCAAAGTAAGGTAAATTTACCTAACTAACTACTATATACTAAGCTAAATAAGCTGTGTTAAACTTAACAAATCTAAAATAAGCTACAATAAAACGAGAATTAAACTAATGAACTAAATAATAAACCAGAACTAAACTAAACCAATACCACCTGTCCCGAAAGGTAGACTTTGGGGCAAGGGGTATCTAAGGTGGTTGACCAACTTTACTGTTACCGATATAAAAATAAAAATGTTCGTTTAACATCTAACTGTTTGAGCACAGAAATTTAAAAAGGTTTGTTTTTAATTTCTCCAGTACAAAAATGCACAGTTTATGTAGGGCAGCTGAGATCGACCTTTTTAGGCTCCGTTTAAGTTTTCTATCAGTTTCTGAAAAAGGTAAAAATCAAAGATTTCTAAAAACAAGTATATAGAAGATAGCACATGAAAAACGCTGGCGGACACACTGGTAAGCCGAACAGCTCACAGTAACTTCAAGCAGTGATAAAGTGTCGGCATAAAACATATCTGGACTTTTAGCTATTATGTGAATTGTCAGGATGATACATTATATAACCTTAGTTCATAGTTGGATTTAAAAAAAATTTCAACTTACGTCGGCTCTTGATGCAGGCATTCCAGTTCCTTTAAGAACTATGACCAACTCTGCACGGGTTAGTGTCCCGCTACCGTCTTTGTCAGCAGCAGTAAAAGCATCAAGGTAGCCTGATGCCGTTTTTGACATTCTTTAAAGGGTAAAATCACAGAGCATAACTGTTTGCTAATAGTGACTAAATTCCATCAATGAGATTTATCGCATAACCGAAGAAGTACTAGATTTACTTATAAAAATAATTTATATTTAAGGCCTAAGGGTCCCGTCATTGCAAACGTTATGCTATTGTATGTATGCAGGCTTAATGATCTAAACTTATTTATCCACATTACATCTCGGCATCTGATGGGAGCTGTACGTGTTATGATAAATAGTATATGACTTTAAAGTTTAGACAGTAGACACTGTAGCGCTAAATACCATTGTAAACAGTTCTACTTCTTTCAGAATATGAGCACACCTTATTCAGTGTAATTAACTGTGGCTTCGTTGACTATATCCCAGTGAGATGTTAAATCACACACTTTCTAACACTTGCACCTGGACCACTTAAGCATCATTATATTAATGCCATAAATGTTTTACAATCTATTAAGCTAACTGTAAAACAACTTTTTCGATCAGTATAACAAATTTCCTTAACCTTATTGTGAAACACTTATTTCAGCATTTTTAGATTCTACGAATGGCTAACATATTGGAAATAAGATGAAAAGCTTAATCATCCATAAAAAAACGTTGGTTGATCCTGAAGCTAATAGGAATCCCACTTGTTTTAAAAGGGTTGGTTCTCTAGGCATACAATAGATTAATCATAAGTGTGGGCACATAAGTTTGAACGCCCCAATACGTAAGGATGTGCAGTGTCTTTCAGATATCAACAGAACGCAAAAAACGTCGACTTCTTGCCAGGCGCCAGACGCGTGTGAGAGCGAGAGAGGAATCAGC